TAGTCTTGCGCTTCGCGCCCTGCTTCTGCTGGGTGCTACGTTTGGCAGACTCCGAGGCCGAAGAGATGCAATGCCAACCTGAAACACTGAACTCGCTAGTCTCCGTCCAGTGCGTCTCCTGCAGGATAAGGACGTCGCAGTGGTGGGAGGCTTCAGCTGCCAGCCACGTTTTTAGTTCTCCCCATTGCTGTTGACCTAGGTGCCCCGCGTTCCAAGAGACTACCCGAATGGATCTTTCTAGTCGTCCTGCCCTGCGGGAGGCTGTGCCATGTGCAGGGGAGTCAGCAGTCTGTGACTGAAGCTCTCTTCGAGTCGGTGGGGGCCGCACCCCCAACTGGTTGACTAGGGTCGGTGTCAGAACCTGTCCGCGGTATGGTACGGGTCCGTCACTTCTGATTGTCCGTCTACATGCTGTCTTGAACGAATTCTTGCGAAGAGATGCAAAGTTTTGTGAGTGCACTGGTAGTTGCGCCATCCGCTAATTTCGTCAAGAGACAGAAGCCTAATGACTCCCTCCACTGCGCGGAAGTGGAAACCCTACCGCCTACCCAGTGTTGCAATGTTTTAAACAGAGTCTGCGCCCAGGAATTGGGACCTGGCGGCACAAAGCAGCTCCTGTGAGAAAAGGGAGAGGACCATGGCGTAGAAGGAGGCACAAACCTTTACTGTTCAGAAAAGGGCCCGGTTGGAACCTCTAGCACAGCAGTTGCGCCCCAAGCCTGTTCGAAACCTCTCATTCAGCGCGGCCGCTTGAGCACCTGTGGCGGCTACTACTACTACTACTACTACTACTACTACTACTACTACTACTACTACTACTACTACTACTACTACTACTACTACTACTACTACTACTACTACTACTACTACTACTACTACTACTACTACTACTACTAACTACTACTACGACCACTACTAGCACTACTAAAACAACAGTTTGATTACCGTTTGGTGAATAGGTATCTGGGAGTTCTCAGGGATGCTGCAGTGAATGGGGCAGCCATGCTGCTGGCATACCTCTGGTGCCGCAAGCTGCGGAGCCGCAATTGCCACGGAAAGTTGTTCTCATGACGATGCCAGCAGAGTCTTAACCTGCAATGCTACATCATTCGGACTCCTGCCACTTCCGGCCTGGACCTCGATGCCACTGCCACTCAACGCCTGCAACCTTCTGGAGGTCCAACCTGCTCAAGACGCACATCGGAAGAGGGCGGCTCGGGCGCTACGCCGCGACGCGGCCTCGCACTCTGTTTTTTCTCGTCGTCGCTTCTCTTCCAGCACGCTCGCTTGGTGGATGGCTCAAGGATGGAATGCAGATAGTCCGGTCTTCCTCGCCAGGAAGACCCCTCAGGCTTTCATGCATGTGGCTATGGCTCATATGGCTCATAGGGCCCATGGGGCTCATAGACCTCACAGGCCTCAGAAGGCTCATGGCTCCGCTGGTTTCCATGCGCAGTTTTTGAGACGATTGGTATAGCATTCCTTCTCGGAAGTGTAGGCGCCGCAGTCATACTCCTTCTTGAGGTGCGAGAGTTTGCCCATGAACTCGCACCTCGCAGGCTTCGGCTCCTTCGGCTCCTCCGGCTTGTCTTCCACGCATCCGCTCCCATCAATAGAAAGCTTCAGTTTCGTGCCTTCGGGGCAGCCGCCCTTCAAAGTCTTGGCCTTGACATCCCCCTGGCACTTGCACCCATGGTCATCACATGAAAGGGGGCCACCCCCGCAGTCCGGCATCGCAGGAGCTTCATCATCCTTGCAATGCTTCCCTGCATCGTCCCACACCGTGCCGCCGCGACCTGCGCACTCGTCTTTGGTAGGATCCCATCCTGACTCCGTCTTCTGAGTCTTCTGGGTCTGCAACAAGACACTTTGGTCACAGGCATCTGCGGCGGCATCGGCGGCCACAGCTGCAGCAGCCACAGCTGCGAAGACAAGAAGGCTCATGCGGCGCGTCATGACGGGAGGCGCGAAACTTCAACCTAGCCAGCCTGAAATTGCTGAGCAGCAGCGAAAAAACATCCTGCACCTTCAAAGCATGGAGTCCCTAGTCACGCACTCACACACTCCTCACGGCACTTCCCGGGTGCGCCTTTAGGGTCGGACTGTCAGCGCAGGAGATGAGCGGCCGCTTCACCTCTTGCTTCAGTTGGAAGGTGGCGTCGTCATGCTGCCGAAGCGACTTGGAACGGACTTCACTTGAGAGAAGGACGAGCTCTGCAGCACAACATTGCGCCCGTGCAACTGCTAGCTTTTCGGAAAACCTTCAAACCTTGCACCAAAATTCCAGCAATTGCACCTCCTGCGGTTTGGGTCCGGCATCTTCTCGGTGGCCTGCTGCCCTGCGCTGCCGTAAGTCAAGATCCCGTACGCCGCTCCCCGAGGTGATTCGGAGCGCGGGGCCTCACGATGCCCGCAGAGTCTTAAACCGAAATGCTACATCATTCGGACTCCTGCCACTTCCGGCCTGGACCTCGATGCCACAGCCACTCAACGCCTGCAACCTTCTGGAGGTCCAACCTGCTCAAGACGCACATCGGAAGAGGGCGGCTCGGGCGCTACGCCGCTACGCCACTACGCGGCCTCGCACTCTGTTTTTCTCGTCGTCGCTTCTCTTTCAGCACGCTCGCTTGGTGGATGGCTCAAGGATGGAATGCCGCCGCGACCTGCGCACTCGTCTTTGGTAGGATCCCATCCTGACTCCGTCTTCTGAGTCTTCTGGGTCTGCAACAAGACACTTTGGTCACAGGCATCTGCGGCGGCATCGGCGGCCACAGCTGCAGCAGCCACAGCTGCGAAGACAAGAAGGCTCATGCGGCGCGTCATGACAGGAGGCGCGAAACTTCAACCTAGCTAGCCTGAAATTGCTGAGCAGCAGCGAAAAAACATCCTGCACCTTCAAAGCATGGAGTCCCTAGTCACGCACTCACACACTCCTCACGGCACTTCCCGGGTGTGCCTTTAGGGTCGGACTGTCAGCGCAGGAGATGAGCGGCCGCTTCACCTCTTGCTCCAGTTGGAAGGTGGCGTCTTGATGCTGCCGAAGCGACTTGGAACGGACTTCACTTGAGAGAAGGACGAGCTCTGCAGCACAACATTGCGCCCGTGCAACTGCTAGCTTTTCGGAAAACCTTCAAACCTTGCACCAAAATTCCAGCAATTGCACCTCCTGTGGTTTGGGTCCGGCATCTTCTCGGTGGCCTGCTGCCCTGCGCTGCCGTAAGTCAAGATCCCGTACGCCGCTCCCCGAGGTGATTCGGAGCGCGGGGCCTCACGATGCCCGCAGAGTCTTAAACCGAAATGCTACATCATTCGGACTCCTGCCACTTCCGGCCTGGACCTCGATGCCACAGCCACTCAACGCCTGCAACCTTCTGGAGGTCCAACCTGCTCAAGACGCACATCGGAAGAGGGCGGCTCGGGCGCTACGCCGCTACGCGGCCTCGCACTCTGTTTTTTCTCGTCGTCGCTTCTCTTCCAGCACGCTCGCTTGGTGGATGGCTCAAGGATGGAATGCAGATCCCTGCAGTTGAAATTGAAGAGTCCGGTCTTCCTCGCCGGGAGGACCCCAAAGGCTTTCATGCATGTGGCTATGGCTCATATGGCTCGTAGCGCCCATGGGGCTCATAGACCTCACAGGCCTCAGAAGGCTCATGGCTCCGCTGGTTTCCATGCGCAGTTTTTGAGACGATTGGTATAGCATTCCTTCTCGGAAGTGTAGGCGCCGCAGTCATACTCCTTCTTGAGGTGCGAGAGTTTGCCCATGAACTCGCACCTCGCAGGCTTCGGCTCCTTCGGCTCCTCCGGCTTGTCTTCCACGCATCCGCTCCCATCAATAGAAAGCTTCAGTTTCGTGCCTTCGGGGCAGCCGCCCTTCAAAGTCTTGGCCTTGACATCCCCCTGGCACTTGCACCCATGGTCATCACATGAAAGGGGGCCACCCCCGCAGTCCGGCATCGCAGGAGCTTCATCATCCTTGCAATGCTTCCCTGCATCGTCCCACACCGTGCCGCCGCGACCTGCGCACTCGTCTTTGGTAGGATCCCATCCTGACTCCGTCTTCTGAGTCTTCTGGGTCTGCAACAAGACACTTTGGTCACAGGCATCTGCGGCGGCATCGGCGGCCACAGCTGCAGCAGCCACAGCTGCGAAGACAAGAAGGCTCATGCGGCGCGTCATGACGGGAGGCGCGAAACTTCAACCTAGCGAGCCTGAAATTGCTGAGCAGCAGCGAAAAAACATCCTGCACCTTCAATTCATGGAGTCTCTAGTCACGCACTCACACACTCCTCACGGCACTTCCCGGGTGTGCCTTTAGGGTCGGACTGTCAGCGCAGGAGATGAGCGGCCGCTTCACCTCTTGCTTCAGTTGGAAGGTGGCGTCTTGATGCTGCCGAAGCGACTTGGAACGGACTTCACTTGAGAGAAGGACGAGCTCTGCAGCACAACATTGCGCCCGAGCAACTGCTAGCTTTTCGGAAAACCTTCAAACCTTGCACCAAAATTCCAGCAATTGCACCTCCTGCGGTTTGGGTCCGGCATCTTCTCGGTGGCCTGCTGCCCTGCGCTGCCGTAAGTCAAGATCCCGTACGCCGCTCCCCGAGGTGATTCGAGCACGGGGCCTCACGATGCCCGCAGAGTCTTAAACCGAAATGCTACATCATTCGGACTCCTGCCACTTTCGGCCTGGACCTCGATGCCACAGCCACTCAACGCCTGCAACCTTCTGGAGGTCCAACCTGCTCAAGACGCACATCGGAAGAGGGCGGCTCGGGCGCTACGCCGCTACGCGGCCTCGCACTCTGTTTTTTCTCGTCGTCGCTTCTCTTCCAGCACGCTCGCTTGGTGGATGGCTCAAGGATGGAATGCAGATCCCTGCAGTTGAAATTGAAGAGTCCGGTCTTCCTCGCCGGGAGGACCCCAAAGGCTTTCATGCATGTGGCTATGGCTCATATGGCTCATAGGGCCCATGGGGCTCATAGACCTCACAGGCCTCAGAAGGCTCATGGCTCCGCTGGTTTCCATGCGCAGTTTTTGAGACGATTGGTATAGCATTCCTTCTCGGAAGTGTAGGCGCCGCAGTCATACTCCTTCTTGAGGTGCGAGAGTTTGCCCATGAACTCGCACCTCGCAGGCTTCGGCTCCTTCGGCTCCTCCGGCTTGTCTTCCACGCATCCGCTCCCATCAATAGAAAGCTTCAGTTTCGTGCCTTCGGGGCAGCCGCCCTTCAAAGTCTTGGCCTTGACATCCCCCTGGCACTTGCACCCATGGTCATCACATGAAAGGGGGCCACCCCCACAGTCCGGCATCGCAGGAGCTTCATCATCCTTGCAATGCTTCCCTGCATCGTCCCACACCGTGCCGCCGCGACCTGCGCACTCGTCTTTGGTAGGATCCCATCCTGACTCCGTCTTCTGAGTCTTCTGGGTCTGCAACAAGACACTTTGGTCACAGGCATCTGCGGCGGCATCGGCGGCCACAGCTGCAGCAGCCACAGCTGCGAAGACAAGAAGGCTCATGCGGCGCGTCATGACGGGAGGCGCGAAACTTCAACCTAGCTAGCCTGAAATTGCTGAGCAGCAGCGAAAAAAACATCCTGCACCTTCAAAGCATGGAGTCCCTAGTCACGCACTCACACACTCCTCACGGCACTTCCCGGGTGTGCCTTTAGGGTCGGACTGTCAGTGCAGGAGATGAGCGGCCGCTTCACCTCTTGCTCCAGTTGGAAGGTGGCGTCGTCATGCTGCCGAAGCGACTTGGAACGGACTACACTTGGGGTATGGGTACGGAACCATGACTTTGGGTCCGTGCAACGGCTAGCTGTCCGGAAAACCTTCAAATCATCATGTCCAGCCATTGGTGCAACGACTACCTTGCACCTGCAGCATCTTCGTGGCGTCCAGCTTCCATACAGAGTCTTGACCTGCCATGCTACATGTATGGCCTGGCCTGCAAGTGCGATTCAACAACGGCGACGACCTTCTCGACTGTGGTCACAGGCATCTGCAGCGGCGACGGCAGCTACGGTCACAGCGAAGACAAGCAGGCTCATGCGGTGCATTATGCAGGCCCCTGGGACTGCTGGGCAGGGAAAGAAGCCCTGTCTCCCACGAGAAAAATGCGGTAGCTAGTCTGTTCCTTGCTGGCACTGCTAGGGGAAGAAACTTGTAGACTCGGCAAGCAGTGCTACTCTGATGTGGCTCTGTTCTTCGAATCAAGCTCCCACAACTGACACCATGTTTCCAGAATCTACCTTCCGTCTGAGTATGGGCTGTGGAGATTCGGACGGCGAGCAGACAGGAAGGGATAACGCCGATGTCAACCCAACGGGCACTCTAATATAGGGGCCGACAGAATTACCTACACCAATGTGGGGGTTCCTTATTATAATTACAGTATGTATATATATATATATATATATGTATAATGGGCCCGGGGACCCTATTCTGATTATTAAGGCCCCTATAGTATCATGTTCGTCCGGTTCATGACGGACCCTCACGGATGACTCTTCGCGAAACTCCTCTCACAGTCTGGAAGACTTGACACACACCGCTTTTCAGATCCGCTGCAGCTGATCCCTGATCCGCCCCGGGTGCACCTGGCACCCACAAGGAGTTCAAAGGGGAAATGGGCTAGCAACATCGCACGAGCACGAATCCGATGCTCAGCCGTGGCTTGGCGAGAGCTTGGGGTCTTGGTGGCCCGTCAGACCACAAGGTCTAGGAAGTAGTGTGCACTGCATCTTCTGCACACCGACCCATGCCGCACACCCCTGGAGCCTTGCCTCAAGTGAAGTATCGGTCTTCTCGGCCTGCAGGTTCGGAAGATTCGGTGAGAGCGCAAGACTTCTCGAGGGTCTTGGGATTCGAACATTAGAAGCTTCTTCGCGGAGCCGTGAGCCGTGCGAACTCACGCGCTTCGGGAAGACAGTTCATGAGTCTGCCAACGTCGGAGTGACGTCAGAGAGAATCTTAGTCTAAGCCAAACGCGTGTGCAAATGTCATTTGCGTTCGGTCTGACCACCGTATCTTACGCTAGCCTGTGCGATGCGCGATGCTGTAGCTGGAAATGTATATAGTCATATAGTCGTATGACCCATCGACGCGGCATGCGACAGAAACAAAGCACCAGCTGGAGATTGTCGCGAAGGTCAAGGAAGTGGGGCAACTAAGACTCTGAATCACGAAGTCACGAGCTCCATAGTATTGCTCGGCCTGACGTCGAACAAGGCAAGTTGGACTTCATCGGAGGCATTGCACCTTCCAGGTTGGCAAAGCCGTAGCAATCTGCGGGGTGGCTTTGGGTGAAGACCTAATAATAATTACCTATACTATTTTGGGTGTTCCTTATCACAATCATGGTATAATGGGCCCGATTACCCTATTCTAACTATTAAGGCCCGTGAAGAGTCAAGGTTTACAGCACAGCTACTGCACAGCCGCTCTTCGACTGAGAGGGATGTGTTCCGCAGCTTCTCGGGTTCTGGCAAGTGCGAATGCAAGACAACTCACAGGTACCGCAAAAAAAGTGTACTGACAGACACTTACAAGTACCTGTTCTGTGTTGGAGGTTTGTGGTTTTTGTTGTCGAGTACAATACGCCGAAAACCCTGTTCTAACTATGAAGGCCCCTATACAAATCCCTGTAGTAATTAGTAATTAGGCCGTAAAGTAGCCCTGATAGTTCCTGTAAACGGAACCCTTACAGAAACCCCGTTAGAATCATTAAGCCTAAACCCTAAGGCCCCTATGTTACATGGACCTGCTGCCTCTCTCGAGTCCCCGCCGCGGAGCAGCCGCTGGTGCTGGCGGAGGGCCCTCACCACCAGGTCGCTGGCCTTCATGGCTAGGGTTTAGGATTTAGGATTTTAGGGCTTAGGATTTAGGGCTTAGGATTTAGGGTTTAGGATTTAGGGCTTAGGATTTAGGGCTTAGGATTTAGGGCTTAGGATTTAGGGTTTAGGATTGAGCTTCAGAGGATTTTGCGGGCTTTGAGAAACCAGGGGTGGCTCGCCTGATCGATTGGAGTTTATAAAAATATTTTGGTCTCTCAGCAAGTCTCTTCAGAATTAACTGTATAGTCCCTTTCCTGTGGCGACCTATCGGAATTTAAGGCCGCCTCGCTCGCTGCTTGAAGGTTCCTCTGCTGAGCGTCACAGACTTTACAAGGCGGCCGCCGTGGCTCACCGCTGCGTAGCGAAAGCCGACTGCCACTGCTCCGGGTTTAGGATTTAGGGTGTAAAGGGCTTAGGGCTTCGGGTTTGAAGGGCTGAGGGTTCACGGCCTAGGGTTTAAGGTTCAAGTATCGTGAGTGTAGAAGTCATGAGGAACGAACAAGTCTTAGCCCCCTGCGCTCGCTTTCAGGGGCGGGTCCGAAGACGTTGAAGAAGCGGCTTCCTTCCTGCACCAGGGTGGTCCGGGTTAAAAGAATAGACCAGCCCCTCCAAGCGCGTTCTTTACTCGGAAAGCAGTTATCTCAATCGACCTGTCTATCTTGAATTCGGGACCTCCGAAAAGGGCTGCACGGTCCTGCACTGCAGTCGAGAGGGTCGGGGTGGATGCAGTAAGGCACGATATTTCGCGGGGTAAACCCGCTATCTCAGGGGGCTATACCTCCGGCTGTCTGAAAGCCCTGAGCTCAGGCTCAGTCCATACTTCTAACTCTACGACACGGGCCGCAGGATTTTCACCGGGGATTCGGTCCGTCTCATGCGAAACATTATATGACAGAACTCCAAGGCACAGCATCGCGAAGTACTCGGGCTTCGGACTGGAGACTCCAAAACCTCTGAAATGAGGAATATGCCTCTATATGATCCTGGGGTTCTCGTATGAAGTAAGGTACATTCCTGTAATTAGTCCCTGGGGCCATGACCTCAGAAGCTCTCCCAGAGTCATCCCAAGTCCATAAACTTGGCGGCCCTAAACTCTGAAACCTTAACCCCAAACCCGAAACCCTAAACACCAAGCCCTAAACCCCTAAACCCCAAAACCCCAACCAGCACTTGGCACCTCGGAGACCTCCAGGATGGAAGCAATGTTCCCGAAGCGGTAACCTGGAGCTCAAAGAGTAAGCTCCCACGAACCCTGTTAAGGGTATATACCGAGGGGTCCTTATTAAGGGTCCCTCCATTTACCCTTGAATGATAGTATAGTGCAGGATAGCGTAAGCCAGTATAGAATAGCATAGTATAGTACAGGACAGATATAGGAGCCACGTGTTCGCAATCACAGAGGCTCCTATCTGCTATGTCAACAAGGCCTGCTGATGTAGAAGACCCTTAGACGAAGTAGGGCTTCAAAGTAAGAGCCACATACCCCTGAAGCAAAGAGCCTACTGCAGCACGTCATTTATGACTTTATGATGTAAGGAAGGTTCCCTCACTAAGAGGTACTTAAGGCTCTCCGGCCCCAGGTTTTGAAGGCGTGGGCTTCAGACGACAAAAGGCAAGGGAACCGGAAAGTAAGCGTAAAGCCCAAGGCCGGGGAACCTGACTGCAGGGAGCCCTAAGCTAGCAAATCACTCCAAAGCCGCGTCATTTTCAGGAGTCAACCTTCAACGTAGCTCATAGCCAGTACCTTCTGTACAATGATAGTATCATATGGGTGGTTGTCAAAATTAGGGTCCCTTTTCGGGTAACCTAAATAATAGGTGCCGTATTATCATAAGGACCCTAATGTTGACAACCACCCATATATGGGCGGTTGTCAAAATCATGGTGCCGTTTTGGGTCCCTATTATCGTACGGCACCTATTATTTAGGGTACCCCAAAAAGGGACCCTAATTTTGACAACTACCCATATATACATATATATATATATATATAGATAGATAGACCACCACCTTTGAATCGTCGACCTCAAGTCCATTTGCCTGACAGCTTGAGCTAGCCTCCGGAGGCCCTACACCCCTAAACTTACCTTTGGTTAGTAGGGAATGGAAGAATGGTAGCACTAGGAGTTATGATTCTAATGGTAGCAATATGATAGTTAAATGGTAGGAGTATGGTAGTAATAGTAGCTATAATTCTACCCCATTCCTCCATTCCCTACAAACCAAAGGTAAGTAAACCCAAGCTCGAAAACTCGGCAGGACTCTCGAGGCTGAGAGCTTCGGTCAACCCCTGCCAGGCCCCTGAACCGGGCCCTAAACCCTAAACCCTAAACCCAGGCCCTGAACCGGGTTTTGGGCTTCTTAGGGTTTAGGGGATTGGGAGTTGGATTCAAGGTTCAGAGGTTGGGAGTTTAGGGTTCGAGGTTTAGGGTCTGGCTGTAGTGGCCCAGGCACAGTAGTTTGGAGCACTCCAAACAGTGGACAGCGTGTCGTCAAACAGCACCTCCGCGTATCCAGGCAAGACGGATTCAGGATTCTATGAGGGCTTTGTAGGCTCTAGAGCTTCCTGAGGTTTGGGGGTTTTGGACTCTGAGGTTTAGTGTCAGGTTTCTAAGGCCCACAACAGTGGTTCTTGCAGGGGGTTTAGGCCCCTATTTTAGCACGCTGTGCCTGGTAGCCCGCCATGCAGAGCTG